GAGTCAGCCCCGACTCATAGCGACCCCTCCTTGGGTTTCCGAGGCAGTATCACTACGGAAGTAGGATTGCCCAACCAATATTAAGTAGGAAAAAAAAATCATGCTAGAAACAAACAAAAACCAAACCCACTGCCATTGAGTTGATTCTGACTCCTACTGACCCCATAAGACAGAGTAGAACTGCCCCACAGGGTTTCCAAGGCTGTAAATATTTATGGAAGAAGACTGCCTCATTTTCTCCCATTGAACCTCTCGTGGGTTTGAACCTCCAACTTTTGGTTAGTAGTCACTTAACTACTGCATCACCAAGGGTTTTCATTACCACTAGTGGGTCATGACCTGCAGTCTGAAAAACTTTAAAAATATCTCCTCTCCTAGAAGACACAAGGTGCCCATCAATGCTGAGCTTCTTCCCCCACTCCTTGCTATAAAACTGGGGAGGTTTATTTATTTTGTCTTGTTTTATTTTGAATGTGGTCTGCTGTTTAAGTGCCCCAAGGAGCTCTGGTGGTGTAGCGGTCAAGGCATTTCGCTGCTAACCAAAAGGCCAGTGATTTGAACCCACCAGGCGCTCCGTGGAAGACAGACGGGGCAGTGTCCTTCTGTAAAGATTTGCAGCCTTGGAAACCCAAAGGGATCCCTGTGAGTTGAAACCAACTTGATGGCAGTGAGTTTGGTTTGGTTCTTGGTTTAAGTGGCTCAGGGCGTGGGGAATGAAGCAGGGACAAGTGAAGTGTCACAAGACGCGAGGAAAAGTGGCATTTACAGGATCGTCATAGCGGAGCTCTCGTCACCGGCACCATCATCAATATTCCCTGAGGGCTCGCTCCGTACCTCGTGCTGTTCTAACTCCTCACAGACATTAGCTCATTTAATCCCCACAGCAGCCCTGTGAGGTCAGGCACTGCCATCCCCACTTTACTTCTGCGAAATTAAGCCCCAGAGAAACGAAGACATTTGTCCCGAGTCAGTCTGATCCAGGGTTCAAGCCCAGGGCAGCTGACTCAGTCTGGGCTCCTCACCACCCGCCTCAGGGGACGAGATGACAGGCCTTATAGGCTGGTTGTTAGGTGCCCTCCAGTGGACTCTCACTCACAGAGACTCCGTGGGACCCAGCAGAACCGTCCCACGGTTTCTAGGCTCTCACCCTCATGGGAGTACATCACCGACTCTTTTTCCTGTGGAGCTCCTGGGTGGGTTTGAACTGCCATCCTTTCAGTCAACAGCTGAGTGCTTTAACCGCTGTGCCACACACAACGCCAAGACACTCGTGAGGCCAAGGTACAAAGAATCGTAAGAGACATGCACCTGCCCACCCACCCCCACTTCAGAAACAAAGGTCTGGCTGGTGCACTCAGTGACTCCAATCACAACCCCCGCCCATACGCAGGGGAACTGCTTCCAGATAATTCGGTGTTTATCGTTCCCATACATTTCTTTATATGTTTACTACGTAAGTATATGTCCCTCAGAGAACGGAGCGTCGCTGCCCACGATTGCACGCCTCATGGAAATGGTAGCAGGCCCCTTGCATCCTCCTGGCCCTTATTCCCCTGCCCCCACACACTGTATTTCTGACATTTCTCTGTGTTGACCCTCGTGGCTCTAGCTCGTGCATTTCTACGAGTGTCCTCCATGGTATAAATAAACCACAACACGCTCATTTTTCTGTTGATGGAAAGAGGTCTCCACCACTGTTACAGATAACACTCTGGGGCTCTCTGGGTGTCTCTGGGTGCACAGACCTGTGCATGTTACTCTCAGGAATGCATGTCGGGACGGAATGACTGGAGCCTGCGGGTAGCGTCAGGTTCACCTTCACTGAATGTCCCTGAGTTATGCTGTGAAGCGGCTTTTACACAGAGCTTTGAACTAGAACAGAACGGAAAAAACAAACTGAAAAAAATACAAAATTTTCGCCAGAGCGAAACCAAAACCCAAGTTTTAAAAAGAGGTGTTCTTCTGAACCTGAACAAAATGAAAGCCTGTTTTTAAAATTTTTGCTCCATTATTCCAGTTCAATACATTTTTAAAGTTGTAAGCAAGACCACTAAGGAGTTCTGGTGGCACAGCGGTTAAGGCACTCAGCTGCTAACAAAAAAGATCAGGGGTTCTAACCCACCAGCCTCTTCACAGAAGCAAGATCAGGCAGTCTGCTTCTGTAAAGGCGGACAGCCCTGGAAACCCTCTGGGCAGTTCCACTCTGTCCACTAGGGGCACTGTGAGCCCGAATCGACCCCACGGCTGTGGGTGTGGTTTCGTACAAGCAAGACCATTGGACCATTTGTTTGATTTGCATTTGGCACCCATGTGTGCTGAGTGCTCTGCTGGCACTTGGTGGGCAAAGGCACAGTTCATGGCTTCAGCAAGCAACGCTGTGCATCCACAGCTACGGTGAGGCCTGCTGTAACCAAAGTTTGCCATTTCCACTCGGTGCTTAACCCCTCTGGACGTGAGAACGGCTCGGCGGATGTGGACACTGCTAAACCAAACCAAACCCACTGCCATTAAGCCAATTCTGACTCATAGTGACCGCCACATTGGGTTCCCGAGATGGTAAATCTTTATGGAAGCAGATTGCCCCGTCTTCCTTCCATGGAGTGGCTGGGGGGTTTGATCTGCCAACCTCTTGGCTAACGGTCAAAAGCCTTAGGTATTGCACCACCAGAGCTCCCTAGTATATACAGAAAGGAGCCTGCATTTGGTTCCGTCTTCATTTCCCGTTCCTGGACTCAAACCAGTGAACAAGACGTAGAGCTGAAGCCCAAGGTCAAAGGGCCTCCACCCAGTTCCCCGTGCCAGCACTCTGAACTCAGACTTCTAGGCTCCTCAGATATAAGTGAATAAATTGCTGTTTGTTAAAGCCATCCACTGGGAGCTCTGGTAGCATAGTGCCTAAAGCACTTGACTGCTAACCAGAAGGCTGGCGGTTCAAACCCACCAGCCACTCCCCGGAAGGAAGGCTGGGCAATCCTACTTCTATAGTGATACTGCCTCGTAAACCCAAGGAGGGGTCGCTATGAGTCGGGGCCGACTCGACGGCAAATAACAACAACAACAACAACAAAGCCATCCACTTGTGGTATTGCTCTTACAGCAGCACTGGTGAACTAAGACAAAAGTGTTCCCAATAAGCAACAAAAAAACTGTAGACAAGTTTGCCGTTCTAGACTGCCTTAGTTAAATTAGATAAACAGTTGTCAAGGCGTGTATTGAATTAGTTACCACTGTTTGTTCAAGTTAATTGAATATTCAGGATTCTGTAAATTTTTTAATACAATTAGTCAAAAATTTTCAACCAACTCAGAGAATATTAGTGAAATGATACTTTACTTGTCCTTAAAACTCAGCTCCAAAATTAGCAGCAATCTAGAAAAATGAATATTCTCTTTGACAGTGAATGTGGCCAGTAGATTGAATCTGTCAATTCTAGGAATTAATACTTGATTTGCACAAGATGGTAAAGATACAGCTGTTGACACTGGGAATGAAAGAATTAAAAGAAAGACACAGTTTGTACATAAAACAACTGCGTATCTAATTTTAGAGAAACACAATATTGATTTACAACAGACTCATTCTACTTGCAGACATTAACC